ATTAGTTGATTGTCTTGCCAATGGTATAAAGAAACACATGTTGGTGTTCAAATATCACATCATATTCATGGCCATGCATAAAGTAAGTTTAATAAAGTGATCACTAGTGTTGAAAAACTGACCAGAGTTCAAATTTAGAGAAGTGGTTGGATGTGATAATTAAATTAGGCCATCCGGGTTTAATAATTAATTACCCGTCATGAAACTTTAACTTTCACTTGATATGAAAGAAATAATGTGCTGACACTCTCTCATACTAGATATTATGAAATGAATTGAATGGCAAGACACAACATTGAGATTGGGCTATATTTAGATTATGATTTAATAGTTTGTTTTGAAGAAATTTTAAGAGATTATTATATGCTTTTGCATGTGAACAAGTAATAAGTGGCCATAAAGCTCACTAAAACAACTTGTATGTGTAGAGATTTTGAGTAACTAGAAATTCATTATTAAAGTATTTGGAGAATTAGAAGATTAGTGGCTTTTCATACAAGTGATTTAATAGTAAATTAATCTCTTGATTGGGGCTATTTTATGTCAGCACATACGAAATAGAATAAGAAAATAGACAACTACACAAATCATGACTCCCTATTAAGGTTGATCTCCAGAAGAGATAGAAATTACATTATTTTCCAGAAGACGTGAAAATTGTTGAATATGATTATCCCGCGAGATGAATTTGTTGCACATGAAATTATATTCTAAGTTGGTGAAGAATTGCCCCAATATTTGAGATATTTTCCAACTTAGGGGGGAGAAGAATTGGAGTAAGTTGGCAAAATTATAAATTTATAATTAGTTGATCCCTATAATGATACTTTGTAAAGTTACATGCCAACTTTTGTATCAAGATATGTTGCACATTTATGATTTGATTTATATACCGTTATGACCCAACCAGAGGCATAGAGAGATACATTCCGCTCATAATGATGATGATATTATGTGTATACAGTAAGATAGATCTTGCCAATTTTTCTTTGAATCACTACACCTGAAGTGTAGATTGTAAGATCGGTTCCAATATATGTGATATATGGCAAGATAGTGCAGTTGATATTAATACCATAATGTATGAAATACTGCAAATAGAAGTGGTATATATATAGATATCTAAGAATTATAATAGATGGCCTGTGATATGAAAAAAGGTTATAATGGTACCAATTGGAGATGTATTCAGATATCATAGTAAATTAGCATGCGAAATTGTATCTTGCTGAATTTTATAATACCGGTATACTATGAAACCGATAAATAATATGCATATGCATTATAGAATGGACTAGTGAATAAGGGATCTGAAATATATATGTTCATTTTAATGTTGGCATAATGATAATAATTAGAAGTTTATCATGGACCAGAAGTCCAATGAAATATGGATTTTTAAATCCACACTGTACAGTGTCTTGCATTATTTTGAGTCCTATGTATGTTCATATGCATGTGTGAGTCATAGGTTAATGGATTATTCATTGCATATGTCAGAAGTTGTTAGATGCATTACTCATTATATATTTTGTTTAATATGTTTATATCCCATATTGGATGCATTAGTTTCTATACAATAATTGTGGTGTATGTGAATGTTCATTCAAAGTATAGTAAGACATATATACAACTTTAATGGAAAATTAGAAAGAGATATTTATATTCCGATGGGCTTATAATTGTGATAAAATTATTGATGAAAACAATTTAATGGCATGTTATGAATCATGCAAGAAGAGTTCCCGAAGAACTTATATACGATGTATTTAAATATCCAGCCCTATAAAGTTTATATCTTGAATATTGCAATTATTATATATCAAACTCTTGAAAAGTGTATGTGACTACATCATTGACATCTCAACCTGATGTTTGAGCATATGAAAGTTAATTAGTGAGATTTACTATTTGTATTTGCAAGAGAGCTATCATGTCAATTATGAAAATGCTAAAGAATATCAACATGATACTTATACGTGAACTGTTTTATATGGTCCAGGAGAACCATGATCAATGAATATAATTACGTGTTATATTATTAATTCATATGAGATTGAAGAGCATCTTTAATAATATCATATGTTGCCATATAATTATTAAAGAATGTTTTGTTAAATAATGATCATCAGTTTCTATATATTATTCACAACCTTCAGAAGAAGGCGTAACTGCATAAGTTTAACTTTTAAATCAACTATTAAATAGAGATTTGAAATTAATGATATTAGAGATAAACACATGTATGATGAAATGAAGACACTTTACATGTTCACATAAAGACTTGGAGACTTGAAGGTGCAAATTCAATTTAGGAGGATCGAAGTTCAATGAATGATATTTTACTACATATGAGAAGATATCCAACCATATTGGATTCATTGCTGCGACACTAAAAGATCTCGAGTTATGTATTCATCAGGGGAAAAAATACGCGCTGTACTCTTTTTCCCTTGACCATGGTTTTGTCCCACATTGATTTTCCTAATAATATTGTACTCTTTTTCCTTAATTAGGTTTTTATCCCACAGGGTTTTTTCTATTAAGGTTTTAACGAGACACAATCTTCAATAATGGACATCCGTGTTATGAAATATTGGGTGGATGCCCATTATTCTTCTTGTATCATCCAGAATATTCTAGACCGAGGGTTTATTGTTATCCAAGCAAACCCTAATTATATTGTATATATATATACCCCATCAAATGAAATAAAGATATACACATTAATTCTCTCTCAATCTCTCATGTTTCTCCCTATTTCAGAGCACTCTTTACAATTTTATACCAAGCATTATTCTAATTATTACAGACCGAGAAATGCTCGAATTTTATACCCAAATCCATTCCCTCCGCCCCGCCTGGCCTTTCCGCTGCCTACTCATTTCACCGTATCAAATTGTGAATCATCATACTTCGTACGGAGTAATTCATAAATTAGTCGCTCTAAAGTGCTCTCTTTTGTCCGCTTTCTTCCCCCGCATGGGTCCAGCTTCATGCCGCAAGCTTGGGACCAACATCAAGCTGTTCTTTTCAGAATTCACACATTAATAAGGTGCTTTTAATTTCCTAATTTTTCTTAAGTTAATATTTTGTTTTTTCTTTTTCACACATTTGCCATAATTTTGATAAAATTGTGCCCTATTGTACTTGATTTGACAATACTTATCTGGTATCATTTTGAGTTTATGGGCATTCATTTGGGCTAATAAATGGGGAAATGAATATTCCATTCCTTCCCAAATAAAAGTTTCATTAGCTTATTGCACAAATTTTAGGAATGTGAATAAAATAATAGAGTTTGATTGATTAACTATTAATTAAAAAAAAAAGGAAATTATTTATTAGGAAACAGAGAGAGTACTATGTTTATTTTGTTCAATTCAATGTAGATACATATTTTAATTTTTGTAAAATATTAGGTGGGTGTAAGATAAAAATAACAGAGAAATGAGAGAATGTTCAATACTGTAAAAGAAAGAGGGAAAACAGTGAGTGAAAAAAATCGTATCCTATCAAGTGAGGGTGCTTAGGTTTAGAAAATTTCCTTACCCTCCCCTCTACTCCCAAGTATTTTGATTAACATTAAACAACCAAATCCAGATATCATAAATTCACAGCAATTACTAGTGAAGCATTGGATTAGTGATGTTTAATTACTCATAGGCCTCAAAATTGCCCAAAAATGTTAATCCCAGATTACTATAACAATAAGACCCTCAAAGTTGGAGGTTGTGTTATTTCGAGTTAATCCAAATATAACATCAATATAAACGATAGCCAAAAGTTGGAATTATTTATAGTTAAAAAATTCCTTCCCCTAAACTCAATTTTAAGTGTCATCGCTCCAATAGCAATGCCAACTAGCTTAGATAGTTAGCCTCCGGCTTTGTAACCCTACGTCATTGTTCTTTCCTATAAGACTCCTTGTGAATCGACTAAAAGAAAAAAAAAAAAAAAGTGGGTATCCTAGTTTATACATTGTCGTCACAGATTGAATTTTTGAGAGCACTGATAAGAGCCTAAGAGGAAAATGTTCTTTGATGTTGCATGAAATGTCCTATCATGGGATTCATAGCTGAGATTATCTGTACTCCATCTGCCAGAAGATGCACAACTATAATTTTGGAACAATGTTTAGTTCTTTATAAACTTCTAGTCAATTTAGATGATGGTAGCAGGGTACTAATTCTGCATTTAGGGCAGAAAACTTCTTGCATATGAGGCTGTCATCCAAAAACTTCAAATCAATTTTATTTATAAGGTAGTCTTGATGGTATGTGAGAGAGAAAGATATGCAAATATTTTTTTATCAGTAACCGCATTTTGGTGTAGGATAGGATAGATTGATTTTGGTAAGCTGCTACTTGCTTGTTTATGTTTAAGAATCTGGTTGATTGAGTTATAGCAAGTATCTATTTAGTGTTATTTTAACATTTTGTTCTGCCACTGGAAAACTAAACATCTATACTTAATATTTAAAAACTCTAACCAGAAAAAACACATGTTCCCATCCCATTACACTTCTCTATCTTATTCTCTAACCCAAGTGCCACATGTTTTCTTACATTATTAATGTTTTAAGTTTTTTTGTTAACTCTTTCATTAAACTTATACTTCATCTTCCATGCACACTTCATCTTCATCTCCACTCTTTAATCCAACCTTTTCCTTTTCTCTCTTTAATTTTAGCCCCTCCACCTCCTTTATTTAAGCCTCATTTTCAATTAAAATTCCAACAATTTAATTTCTTTAATCATATATTCGATTACACATTATACCTATAAATCTATAATGACTTATTGATATTTCCTTACTCATCTCTCAATGTAATTTTCTGTCAATAACCCGTGCATTGCATGGGCCAAAAGGCTTGTTTATATGAGTAGCAAAGAACTGAATTGTATGTTGTGGTAGTTTTCATATGTTATTGATGGTATCCAATTTTGTACTTAGAGTTATGTTTCTTTGCTGTATGAAGCATATGATGGTACCATGTATTTGGCAAAGGAATATGATTCTTTCTATACATACATAACTGGTATGTACATACAATGAATTTTAGCTAAGCTAAATTGTTGTCAGCAAATGTACACTGGAAATAAATAGCAATACAAGAATTTTAGCAGTACATACTAATAATATTATGTGAATTATCCTTGCTTAGTTTTTCTTCCAGAAGCATGCGTTCTGCAATTTGATGTAGCTGAAAAATGGTCTTTCTGCGACAGGTATAAACTTGACGAGCCACCCTAGAGGCCAGGACACTGCTGCAATTCCAATACAAACACCCCACTGTCCCCAATTTAATCTTTCTGTGTTGGCGAATTTCTTTAGGAATTCAACCATCACCACCTGGAGGATAATGGTTATGGCAATGATGGCTAGGAACAACCTGTTCTTGTGTATCCCTTCAAGTATGTTCTTCTTCTCCAGCTTCCTTGCATTAAATTCATTAAAAACCTGGCACAACACAAAGGTATTGAATAGCAGTGTATCTTTCACCTTGCTTCCTACACCAAAGATCGATTCTCCCTTAAACTGTAAGGTCAAGAGTACTGCTATCTGGTATAGGGCTTGACACATAAGGTTTCTCCACATCACGTTTGTGATGAGTGGCTCCGTTCTTCCAACAGGTGCTTTGTCCATCAATTCTTTTGCCGGCTTCTCAGTTGCAAGTGCTAAGGCACCTAAGGTGTCCATAATCAAATTGACCCATAAGAGTTGAACTGCGGTTAGTGGAACCTCACCTGCTGAAACTGCTGCTACAAAGTTGATCGTCAGAGCAGCAACATTTACAGTAAGCTGGAACTGGATGAACTTTTGAATGTTGTTGTAGACACATCTACCCCAATTCAAAACTGTTGCTACCGAAGCAAAATTATCATCCAGGATGACAATGTCTGAGCTCTCTTTTGCTACTTCGGTCCCTTGTATTCCCATAGAGAGCCCTATGTCAGCCTCTTTCAATGCTGGTGCATCATTTGTGCCATCTCCGGTTACTGCAACCACATGGCCTTTCTGTTTGAGGCATTGCACCATAAGAAGCTTATCAAAAGGAGAGGATCTAGCCATGACTCGTATCTTGTCAACTTTCTCGCTTCTTTCTTTCTCTGTGTAGCTCCGAAATTCTGGACCTTCAACAACAGCACTGTTAATGTCGTCACCAGGCTGCAATATCCCACACTCAACAGCTATTGCTCGTGCAGTGAAAACATTATCCCCTGTTATCATCTTGATGTTAACTCCGGCATTTTGGCAGTCTTGAACAGCTTTCTTTACACCAGGTCTACACGGGTCCTTTAGACCAACCATTCCGAGCAACGTCAGACCATCATCAGTGAGCTTTTCTTGATCCATTACTTCATTTTCCTTATGTACTACTTCTTTGTGAGCAAAGGTAATGCATCTGAGGCTGCTAGCTGCCATGCTTTGAATTATCTGCTCGAAAGTTTCCTTTGCCTTATTATTCATAGGCTTCAAATTTCCTGATGCATCATAGTAAGAGGAGCATTTATCTAGTATCATTTCAGCTGCACCTTTCCAGTGTACATAAACTTTATTGTTTTCTTTATCTTTTATTAGCACCCCACTTCTTTTCTTCTGTGAATTGAAGGCTTCCACATGAAGGGTCGTACAACCCTGGTTCAGCTTCTGGATGTCCATGTTGAGCTCCAACACGGCCCAAGAGAGTAAGGCCTTCTCTGTTGGGCTGCCTGAGAACTCGTAATCTGAGCTTGAAGATGAACTCCTGTAGACACTTCCTGTGGTATTGAGCCCAACACCTTGTTGGATGAATGCAAGAAGATCAGCATCAATCTCAGAGGTTGTGCCGTGTTCAATAAGATTCTGGCCCAACCAGACTTTTGTGACCTTCATCTGGTTCTGGGTGAGTGTGCCTGTTTTGTCTGTGCAAATGGTGGTAGCAGAACCCATTGTCTCACATGCTGAGAGTTTGCGAACCATAGCCTGATCAGCCATCATTCTTTTCATTGAATAAGCGAGTGTGAGAGTGACTGCCAATGGCAGTCCCTCAGGGATTGCAACCACAACTATCGTAACAGCAGCAGCAACAATCCTGACGATAGCATTGAGCACATCATTCACATTTGTTTTGCTTCCATTGAATTCCTTTCTTCCACTCTCATCTTTGGTATGCCCTGTGAAGTATCGAACCAACAGCACTACAAGTACGAGGAAGGCCACTACTAAACCAAGCTTACCGATGGAAGAAGTTAGCTTGTTAAGCCGAGCTTGTAGTGGTGTTTGTTCATCTGAGTTGCGGCTTGCAGAACTCATCAGCTCTCCCCAGACTGTATTCATGCCAACTGAGGTGACGAGCATCTTACCATAACCATCTGCAACCTTTGTCCCTGATACCAAGTACGGATATTGAACTCTGTCAATGCCCACATGATCACTTTCCCCTGTCATGCTAGACTCATCAATTTGTAATGAATGGCCGTCAATGAACAAACCATCTGCTGGTACTTGATCTCCAGTGTTCAAGCAGACTATGTCGCCGACAACAATCTCATATATTGATACCTGTTGTCGTCGCCCACCCCTTATTACATATATCTTGATGTTGTTGCTTTGTTTGGATAGTTTTTCAAACTGTTTACTCTGTCTGAAATTACTTAGAGAAGAAACAATGATGACTAGAAAAACAGCAACAAATATGCTCCCTCCATCATACCATCCCTCTTTCGGTCCTCTCTGCTTGATACCGAAACCAAGAGAAAGAGCAGCACAAAAAAGAAGAATAAGGATGGTGAAGTCCTGAAAGGCTTCCCACACAAAGTGAAGGAACCCTTGAGAAGGTGGTTTTTTGTACGTGTTTGTGCCAAAGGCTTCATGGCGGTTTGCAAGGTCTCGCTCATCACCATCAATACCATTCTCTAAGTTGGTATTGATAGCAGAAGCAATGGAGTCTACCCCACCAAAATCTCGAAGTGTTTGTAGGTTTTTTTGTTTGGTAAGTTTGCTTAGGGATATTTGATCAACATTCGAAAAAGATTGATGTGGTTCTAGGTTTAGGACAGTATAAGAAGAAGAGTGCAATAATTTACACTCATTGCGTTGCCTTTTCCGAGGAGGCAATAGTAACGCTCTCGAATAGTAGATGCTAGCAAAAGCCCTTTGCCACCTTTTGCTCGGCTTGCTGAGGGTTTCGGGTATCTTCAATAAAACATCAATGCATACTAAGCTCGCATGTAATGTGCTCGTCATGTACGTTGGTATGCCTTTGTTTGCTAGAAAGCGTTCTTAGCTGATAGTAATACTATTATCAATGAAAATTTTGGGTTATGGCTAATAGTTGACGGTCGATAATCGGAATATAGGTATAATATAGATGTGCAATAATTAACAATGTAATCGAACGTTGTAATGTAAGGCTGGTTTTTAAATGTATGTAATGCAGTATGTAGTTTGATATGGAGGGAAGTTATACTACGTAACATATATACTGGTAATATTAGTTGTTACGCGTACAAGTAAAGGAGTGCGGCGTATAATTATAATTTCCTGGAATGTACGTAGAAATGTAGACGAATTGGGAGAAATTACTTGAACGTGGATGTGACGTGTATGATATGGGCGAGTAGCGCGTCATTGTGCACGCTATATTGCTAGTTGGACAATGAAATTCCGAATGGCCCATGGTTTTTTTTTTTTTTTTAAATATTGACAATGCGGCATAGGTTGTTAAACAACATATTGAAATTAAGGTCAGTGTTAGGTGATTAAGATTTGTTCCGTTCAGAGAATGAGAGATAGATTAAGTGGTTAAATCTCCCCTATCGATTATAAGAGATTTTGGGATTGATTCTCATCACCCGCCTTTGGGGCTCGATAAACAAAAAAAAAAAAAAAAATTGTTCCGTTCAACCTATTTCATAATTCAAATACATGTTAAGAAGTACTTTGTATTCTTTTCGTGTTTTAATAAATATTACACTTTCACCAAACACGCATATTGAGACACGACTTTGACCATTGATTTATTTAATTATATGTTACTAATACTAAATTTACAGAAAAATCAATATTATGAAAGTATACAATATAACGAATCCAACAATATATAATACGATAACATTTGTTTTTTTATATATTACTCGTAGTTAATTAATCAAGTCAAAACAACTAAGTGAATAATGCGAAAAGTCAAAGTGTAACGCTTAATAAATTACAGATGAAGTACTGAGTATTGATTTTTGTTAGGAAAATTTGCCCGGAATAATCCCACTTTTGGGGCATCCGCCAAAAATAATCCCACATTTGGGTTATTTTTTAAAAATCCCACCTTTAATGTCAATCCGCTTTAATTGGTCCCAGGTGACCGGTAACCTATTAAATAGGTAATTTTTTTTGTTTTTTTAGTTTAAAATACACGTGTCACTACGTGATTCATCAAAAATTTAAAATTAAACAATAATTGAATTTAACAATAATTGAATTAAACAATAATTGAATCAGAACGAGGTTGGTATTTGCGGTGGTTCGAAGGTGTTGGGGTTCGAATTGGTTGTGATTGTGATTGGTATTTGCGGTAGGTTCAAAGGTGCAGGGGTTCGACGGTTCGACGACGGTGATATTGTTGTGGTAGGAGTTTGGAAACGGTGATGGTAGGGGCTGGTAGGGCTTGCGGCAGCGGGGCGACTTGGTTGGGGTCGCAGCAGTGGGGCCGCCCGGCGGTGGTGTTGGTGGCTAGGCTTCAGGGTGAGAGGAAAGGGAGTTGACGGTTCAGGGGGGGTGTTGGCGCGGCGCTCCAGCGCTGGTGGCCAGGCAGGGGGTCGAGCTGGTGGGGCTGCGCGGCCATGGAAGGTGGTTGGGCTAATGGGGTTAGTTTTTTAATTAATTAATTAAAAACTTTTTTTATTTTATTCTTTAAAAAAAATTTAATTTTTTTTATGTTTTTTTATTCTTTTACCAATCAAATGCCGACACGTGTCATGTAACTTGCTATAACAAGTTAAATGACCGGTTAGGACCATTTAAAGCGGATTGATATTAAAGGTGGGATTATTAAAAAATAACCTAAAGGTGGTATTATTTTTGGCAAACGCCCCAAAGGTGGGATTATTTCGGGCAATTTTTCCTTTTCGTTAAATAAGATCAAATGGAATTAGATCCGAAATATTCAGATTAATCATGATTTAAACTTTTAGCTCTTGTTTACCTATTGCAAAATATTTTTAATTGCACTTTTTTATAAATATGTATGAAATTTACTAGATGTAATCGGGATTAACTCTACTCAACTCAAAAAAAGTACAGGTTTAAGCAACCTTAAACTCGTATATTTAATTTAAAACTCAAGCCTGACCCAATAAAATTAAAAAGCTCACTTTGGGCCTATAGGACTAACATTATTTTGCGAGTTTGATGACAAGATTTTGTACTAAGGCAGAATATGAAATACGATTCAAATCAAGTTTGCAAGTAAACATTCAGGACTCGTGCTGCTAATAAAACCCTTTCATTCACTTCGAAACCAAGACCTATAGTAAGTACCTATTCCCGATAGAGCCTAATATGTAGACAGTCAAGCTCGTCTTCTTATCTGGATTCATTGAGTCATGTCATTCAATTCCAGGCTCAAAGAAGAGGTTTATCCTGGCTAGGCTCATATCAGCTCATTCAGTCGGAACTCACTCTCCTTCCTTTTAATACAACAACGCCTATGTATAGATCATCAAAACATCAAACAAAGAACTTCTTTTAATTAAGATAGAAATACGTGATACTGATATTGAGAAATGAGGAAGCATGAAGGTTAACCAAGTGCCTTAGGTATGTAATCGCTTAATAACATTAACGAGCGGCATTTCCTTTTCTTAATCTTATTCACATCCAGAAGCACTTTACGCTCCGGGACCGATTAGAGGATGTGTCCAACGATCAAAATAAGCAAGCCTTGCCGCATCCGATAGAAAGAAAATATATGCCAAACTTATATCCAAAAGCTAAGGGTGTGGACAATAGAACGTGCAAGTTTTTCTAGGGCAATTAATATTATAACTATCCAATATGAGTCTAGTTTATGAATATGAAAGCCTTTGGAATCTAATAGTCTTTCATATAAGTGGTAAGAAAGGAGATTATAGAACAACCTATTTTCTTCCTGATGCCCGTGGGAGTGGGACTAGTCATTCCCACTACACACCTTGCCTTACTAGCTTTATTGTGATCCTCTTTTTTCTCAATCTTCTTCTGCATCACCAATGATAGTTGACCAAGAACTTCTACTACCACTAGCACCGGTTACTGGAAGAGCAGATGATTTCACTCTAACAACAAATATGGCTAAAGCACCGGTAAGACTTAGAGCAGAAATGAAGACAACTTCTATGCCAAGAGAGTCTGCGTTGAGGAGATCTGGGTCTTCTACCCGGTGGTATAGGACTGATAGTTAAATTAGCTGTGATAGTATCAGTTGGTGCCATTGTTAAAATGAGTGTTCCCGCTTCATCTTCCCCAATATTCTTAGATTTAGCAACACCGGTATCAATATAATAGATAGAAAGACTCATCTGCCAGTCAAACTTTGACAGGCTAACTCTTCTTAGGTATGGGCTCCCATGATAGTTAGTTCTGAGGAAGGCCTTCAGGTCAAACTTCTAAATTTCCCCCTTAAAGAAAGTCCAGATCGGTTTGTGTTGTCTTCTTGCTATAATTTTTCTGATCTGATAGATAAAACGCGGATGGGTACAACCTTCTAAGCTACAAAATAAAGAATGTCATAAAAAAAGTAAAAAAAAACCCCCTGGTTAGAATTCTTCCCCGGCTCCACTATTCCCTTTCTCTATTTTAGAACGGAGAGCGGGCAAGGCCTCCATTGAAGCCTAGCTATTTGCCTTTCTTTAACACGATCCTGTAACACACTCTTATTGAGGCTAGGCTTAAGGCCGACTACTCATTTTTATTCGAGAGCGGGGGAACTTCACTTCGAGGGAAGCTTTTTTCCCGGGAAAACTCAAGAAAGGAAAGAAAGACCCGTAAGCTGCTTCTTTGCTCACTGCGATTGCGATGTCTTATTATATTACTCAAAAGCTCAGGGGAAATTATTCCTCGGCTCTTTTGAATGTGAATATTGAGTGAAATCCCTTAGTCTAAAAGTCTTCCTTGGCCTTGGCTAGTGTGAGTCCTCCTCTAAAGAGGATTGAGGTGTCCCACGGGCGTAGAAACGGTTTTTTTCTAGGTGACTTCCTCTTGAAAAGGAAAGGAACCAGTTACTTCCACCCTGGTGGTATCCTAAAGAAAGGGAAGTCTTTCATGGAAAAGCTTTTGAGCTCGGGTTCCTCATAACAAACTTGGATGAAAAACCCAAATCTTGATGCCAATGTTGGCCCGTAAACCCTTTCTCAATGAATTGTTCGCAAATCACCTTATTTGTACCGGAACTTCGTGAACTAAATGTTGGCAAAGCCTATTATTCCATCTTCGGGTATTTGTGCCAGTATTTACGAACTCTAGGTTAAAAAGCTAAATAAAAGAAAGTCAAAGGAAAAGGCGGTTGCTAGTGGATCCTGTTGCCATAAAGTTATCTTTCATAGTCGGGCTAATGAAGAATCTGATGAGTTGAGCAATGCATTATTTGCTAATAGTCCTCCCTCCTTGAGAAGGGTCAAAGCAGAATAAGAATCTCGGATGTGCGATTGACCTCCTAGTGGGGCTACTCACTCACTGTAGTCCACACCTCCTCTAAGGCCAATGGGCAAAAAGTGAGAGCTTTTACTCGACCGTAATAGTCTGACTTCATTCATAAAGAGCTTAGCAAGCATATAAGGCATAACTGGTGGAGAGCTTACTAAGGAAAGAAAATCACTCTTTCTTTATCACCGTCAGTATAGTAGCAATAGACTGATCTTAGTCCTTTGACTCACGGGATTCACCACTATAAGGGAAGTAAGCCGAGGAAAGGCAGTGAAGGCTCGACTCCGCTCGGGTTGCATAGAGAAAGGTAATTTACTTTAAAACTTGAATAAGTAAGCAAGTAAACTACCTTTCTTTTTATTTGTTTCGGTCTAAATCGAAGCTCTTGCAGTCCTTAATACTTTGCAAGCACTAAGCAAGAGTTCTACCTTTCTAGCATGCCAAAGAAAGGTAAGCGATCTCTTCTATTTCCCAAAGCCTACTGAGCCTAAGCTTCATGCCCAACCTTGGATCTTGTAAACAGCAGGTAGACCAACCGAAGCAAAGACTAGCAGCGGATCTTGTTCACTCTTACTACGTAACCTGTACTGTGCCTATGAACTCATCTTAAGCTAAGGAAATAGACAAAGGAAATGGCTATGCTCTTTCTCGCTGTTGTTCCCCAAACACTGACACTGAGATAATTAAGGAGTATATCTACCTAGACGAAACTTCTTCAATTTCTCGCCCGACAGAGGGCTGCTTTAAACGGTACGTATTACCATAGACCCAAGAAAGTCTTTCCAAAGTTCTCCTTCGTTAAGAACCTCTTCCGGGCATGCCTCTGAGACTAGTGCTACTCCCTGCCTTCCTTTGCCCATCTAAAATCGAATGACATATTTTTTTATACGGTAAGATCTGCAGCGCTTAATGATTCGATCACAGCTGATACGCATGAAGTGAAGTTAGCTTTCTTTTCTAACTCTCACACCAGTTATTCAACAGCAGATAGGCTTAGAGCTCCTACTTACGAACTGGATATTGAAAAGAGCGCTTACTCTTCTTGTAGCGGAGTCGTTCACAAGAGATAGACTAGCTGTAGATTTAATAGCAATTCCTTACTCTAACCAGTAAGCAAATTGACATTACCTTCTTTTCTTACTAACAGGGCATGGGCATTCGATGCACTGATTCAATTCCCGGTCCGCCCTCTCATTCACAACCGAGGAGTACACATCGATGAGCTTAAGTAAGCGTTTTTTACTACGTTAATGCAACAAACTCTTTCTATTCCACAAGCAGACACCCTTCGAGAGCTTTCATCGGCTTG